AATCTCGTCACGTTTCGGAATGACACTTCGAATATTAGTGAACAAAAACGATGTTTTCTCGCTTTTTGGCGATACACTTTTGGCCATCAAGTCAACGGGTGGTCGGGGGACTAGTTATGGGGAACATTCTTTTACCTCGGCAACAGAACTATCATAAAAATACCGCTTATCTCGAATAAAAAGTTTATTAAAACGCAAACTAAAGGCGCGTGATTTTGAGCGTGCAAAAGCAAGAAGGTGATTACGGGCTGTACGAACGGCTGGCGAAAAATCCTCCCCTACACTTATCTGCGTTCCCTCGAAAAGCCGCGCTTTAGAAAATACAGATTCTTTGGATTTACTTGACGCAAACTTCATAACTATCGGTCTGTTTTTTTTCGGAAGAAAAACGGCCAATCCGGTGGGCGCGCTCGATACTCGGTGGCTCCAGGTCAATTGCAAGACGAGTTGAACATGTATCAATTATCAGCTTTTCAGAATCTTGCCAAGATTCACCAGCGACGTCCCGCAAGCCGTAAAAAATTAAATTGTTACGGCGAGACCTGTTTTCCGCGTCGTCAATACGCGCTTCCAGGCAGGCAATTTTGTTACTCATTGAAAACATGTTAGACTGTATGGTCTGGACCTCAGTTGGAATTGAAGAGAAGGAAGAACATTCCTTTTCTAGACCACTTATTCGTTCGGAAAGGTTAGAAAGAGATTGCTCAGTAGACAATACTTTCTTTTTTATGGCCTGCATTTCACGTAAAAGTGAGTCCTGCCCTTCGCTTAGTTTTGTTAAAAGTGCGATGACGTCCAGTGAGGCCTGTGATTGCGTACTAGTAAGAGCCATCTGTTTCGACTGTTTACTGCGAGTAGTTGCGGTATCAGGGTCAGGTCCGGGGTTTACCTCGACATCGCCGGATAATAACAGGAGAGAGCCTACCACATCAATACACTCACAAAAAAGGTTCAAACAGCATAGTGGGCTCGGTAGCTGCATCAGGCAAACATTGCTAGTTTTTTTTTTTCGAAAAAAGACAGCGAGAGTTACGCACCTGCGTGGCGAAAAGAAGTGGCTCGTAAATGGCCTGCATCCTGACGCTGCCACCAAGCCCACAGAGCGAGACGGAAGATGCTCCCGCTTTTAAGGTTAGCGGAACGTTCGATGACGATGGTGGTTCTGCCACTGTCGATGAGCGGAGCAAATCAGCGAAGATAGGCGCCGAAACTGTCACCTCGCCGAAGCAAGGCCAAAAAGCGCTGTCGTCGATGGCGGGTGAAACTTGTACTTGATGCGCTTGAAAACCGGGCGAAGCTGATGACGGGCTAGTCGCGATTCCTTTTTTCTTCAGAGGTTTGTTTCACTGTATTACACCTGATTGACAATACCGATTATATTTTTCTGAAAGAGTAAATGTCTTAAGCTTTCAATTTATGTGCTTTTTATGCCAAAACGTTGAACAAAACAAAAGTTATAATCACTCAAGTTCGGCAAATATTTGTCAAAGGGACTAGGTTTGACCATTTTTATTTTACGAAATATTAAAAACTATTTTTTTCAATTGTAATTAAAAAATTGTACCTAAAGTGTAAAACAAGTAAAAAAAGTTTGATAACTGTGCGGCTCATATATGAGCGTAGAGGGAATCTCAAATATGCGACCTCTGACAATCGGCAAAATCTCAGAATCCGCTTTCGGCCAAATGAAATATAATAACTCGAGAACAACATTTTTTTCTTCAAAAACGCTTCCCATTTCGTTCTAATGAAGAATTAGCCCACAACATATATTTTTTCGAGAATTTTTTGAAGACCCAACATTTTTTCTTGCATGATTTGAGATGAAAGCACCCATATAAATTATGAAGCAAATCGCGAAACAAATCGTAAAACGCTATTTTTCCTGCCGCTCTGTCCGGCTCTGTCGACCTTTCTTTGCCATGCTTCTTTCTTGCGGGAAGACATAATATCCGAGGCCTTTTTACCTGGTGCTGTTATTGTAGCTCCGTGGCATACAACATGTGAAACCACCGATTGAAAACCGTGAGTCAACACCTGCTAAAAGTCTCGTGCTAACTCGAAAATTTCCAAACGCCGGGCGTACTATGCGCGCCGACGCGGCCGGAAAACTGGGGAGAACTACAGGTACCAGGATGCACCGCGGCAGCGGTGGCGTCGCGCAACTCCTCGTCAGATCGGTCTATTAGAAACTTGCTGAGCGTCATCGAAAACCACTAAATCAGTCATTTTCAGAAAGACTTTGAGCGCGTGAGAAGCGCAGTAGCGCACTAAAGTTACCACTCGTGGAGCAGGTACAAAGCTGGGGCTAGATAAGAGGCGGAAAAACTGCGCGGACGCCTTACCGCAACCGCTAGCTTTGTACCTGCTCCACGAGTATTAACTTTAGTGCGCTAATACGCTTCCCACGCGCTCAAAGTCTTTCTGAAAATTACTGATTTAGTGGTTTTTGATGACGCTGAGCAAGTTTCCAATTGGAACCATAAGTCTATTTTCATTAATTAAAAAGTTAATTAACGAATATTAATTAATTATCCGACTGATCGTTACGATTAGCCGCCTATAATATGTCCCCGTGGCCGTATAACTCACCTCCACAAGCGGCATAAGTGCAATTTTCACGGCTTTTTTAAAACAAATCTGTTAAGCTTAAAAAAGAACACCCTGTATATATATAGTGGTATTCTCGCTCATCGCTGGTCCAGAGAAAAGAAATCTAGTTCTCACATCTGGAAGCTCCACACTGTCAAGCGGTTGTCGACCTTGGCGGCACACAGTTTCCCAACTTCATCCGACGTGTCGGAGAGATCGATGGGTACAGCAGAGACCTGTACCCACGCAGATGGCAACTCGAATAGCGACATTCGTACGAAAAGAGCGCAAAAAGAGACGGGACACGCTATTTTAATACGAATCGCAATTACCAACTTGCCCAGCAGACCAAGATTTTACAATTGCATAACGAGTACACCACAATCCCCGTGATTTATGAATGGCAATATTACTGGCCTGCACAATGGGTAGCTGGCATCTCGCCTTCTCCTCCTCCGTCTTCGTCACTCGTGACCGTCGTGACGTCACTCGTGAACCTCGTAATGTCACATGTGACGCGACATCATTATGGGAAACGTCCCATAATGTAACTTGCAATGACGGCGCTCAAGCCGGAAATGGGCACCCAAGAGCTGCGCTCTCAAAGTTAATTATTCGAAGGCATATAGTAAACCAATTATACTGAACGTTAATGATTTTCCCAAATCGGCCCTTCGGCAGAAGTCATAACGACATTCAGCTTGTTTCAGTGCAATGTATACTTTTCGCAGTAACGACTTGGCCAGGGTTCCAAGAACCAGCCTACATTGCCGGGTCCTCGGACTGATGTTCCCGGAGATCGTTGGAGTATGTTTTCAAAGCTAAAGGGGCACTGACACATCAAAATCATATATTTTTTTATTGTCTAAAACGATGCAGATTATAGTCATAGACACGCAAAAAAAAAAACGCATCGCGAAAAAAAATTTTCCCGCGCGCGCACGCGCCTTTTTATTTTTGACGTTTATATTTCTCGCGCTCACCTCCTCGCTTCTTTTGATCGATGACGTCAAAAATCAGGAAATTTAGAAGCTTCGTAGGTAACATTTCTATAACATTTAATAACGGCAATCGTAAAACATATTTTTTAACGCAACTGCGAACGCACTACGGCCCCTCTTTTTGAAATACCGAAAATCAGATTTCGGTGTGATGTCGCTTCCTGGATTTGTATCCTCCCTCTGAAAACTTGGCGGCGCTCGAGCAGAGGCTTATCGGCCAGTCGGGGAGCAACCGGTTTTTCCCGCGCTAGCACCCTTCTATCCCGCCTCCTCACCTCCTCCCCCTCGCTTCGGGTCGCCGTAGCAACGGCGCGGTGGAGCGGAGGTCGGAAAGAAAGTCGAGTCGCCGGAGACCGCAAAATTTGACTCACTGCACCGGCGCGGATCGCGCGGGAACTTCAAATTCGGCATTTGTAAATTGTTTTTTTTTTAATAAAGAAATACTGAATTCCCAAGTTTCAAATTTCGAGGGTAATGTCCCGGCATCGTTTTCAATCGTTTCGGATAATAAAAAAAAATATGATTCTGATGCGTCAGTGCCCCTTTAAAGGCCGACCTACAAAAAGGTTTTGAGTCGGGTAGGGAAATCCACCTTGCCAGCCCTACTGCAATCTTCAGCCCCAACAGGCAGCAACAAAGGGAGTCCCCCGCCATCAAGGGGAGGATTTCCCTACCCTGCGGAAAAACGTTTCGTAGATTGGCCTTTAAAGTAGAAGGGCCCTCAAACTGGGAACGATTGAGATATAGATTCAAAATGATACCAGTCGTTCTCAACAGAAATGATGGAGACATTATTAACCGGGAGGGAGGACACGGTAGGGGACGATTACAATAACAAACAAGGAAAAGTAAACGGATACAAACCAACTTTGAGGCTCTAAAGGGAGAATAATCGACCCTTCTCACTCGGTGCATATGGTTGGGTAGCTTTGTGGGTCAGCCGGTCTCCATTAAAAACGGTTTTACCGCTCGACCGACTGTCTTTGGGGACCCCAAGAAGGACTCGATGGCACCCAAAGGGTCCCATTTGAGAATTCCCGCCGTACACGTTTGGTGGCATTCTAAAAGACGCTAAAGTGCCCTTCTATGTTCCTCGAATCACTCAACTTGAAAAGCGCCATTGCTACAAAAGTGCTTCCGAGCCCCTTTGTTTCGGGCGCTCTGGGTAAGCGCACGTACCGGAACAGAAATGTAGTTTACCCGCCTGGGCAACATGTTCGTTACAATAGCACCACTTTTATGTAGACTTTTGCGTACTAAACCACGCAATTACATAAAGCTCGCCAGACCTGTCACCAGGCTGCGAGGCAAGAAATCCCAGCACACTCCCCGGACAAACAACGTTTGGTCCAGACGACCTGAGCGGGCGGAATCGGAATGAAGTGGGTCGTGGACCGAGGGGCCCGCTGGGGGTAAGAGGTACGCTTTATTGATCCCCTGGCTACTCACTACAGAACCAAGTAGAATCACTCTTAGAAATAGAATATGCGTGACCAATGCAGTGCCCTGTCTGACAGGCCTCACATGAAGACGTTCAAATGACTGTACACAGGCGCGAGGGGCCTCGCCAAGGGGTCCCGCGGCGGGGGGCGTCGCCGGGCAGTCAACTCGGCTGCGTGCACGTCTCCCACAGGCCCTGAAGATCCGCAAACATCTGCAAGGGCCGGGAGCGCTATCGGGTTTCGGTCGGCGTTGCCCCATCGAGGGAAAGTTCCCGTAAAGCCAGCTCCCAGGTACGAAGTTCATTCGGATGCGCGTAATGCCGGGGAATAATTCAGAAATATTTCCCACATTTTACGTTCCGACTTTTTGGACACCAACTCGTTCGATATTTCGCGCCTAAAGGAGGAACTGCGACCTACCCGATAAAAATAGCGCGTACCTGCAAAGTTGGGAGAAACCAAATCCCGAAGAATTTCTAAGCAGGGGGGGGGGGAGCGGCGCTTTAAATAAGCGTAGGAATGCAAACGTATTCGTATACGTAGCGTATTCCTACAAGCTGCGTGCCCCGCTATCCTCCGCAGGGGCCAGCCGAGCAGCGGGTGTGAGCTGCTGCGGCGGCGCTGCTCCGTCGGTGCGCTGTTCCTCGGAACCGTGCACCGACTACGTTGCAGCCATTTTAAGAGCCGTTCCGCCGAGAAAATTTCTCTTCCGCTTTTTGTGGTAACAAACAACGCCGGCTCCGCTCCATGGGACGGCGAATGCTTTCGCATTAAAAATATTTGCAACAAACTTACACGTAGACAACTTCGTTACATTTATATCGCGTTGCTAATGCTAGCGAGATACAGCTGGGCCTCGCTATCATTGCAGCGGTCAGTTGAGACGGCAAAAACTCCTATTTTAAGCGTGGGAAGGGGGTTGAAGAGGGGAATTTGCATTTTCCGGGAGATTTTTCTGTCAACTGTACAACTGTACAAACTGGTTCAAATTTGGGAGTCTCTCGGGTAATATAAGACACCTTGGCAGGTACGTCAGCGCACATTCGAGACCAATGTTTCGGACAGTTCGAAAGTTCGATTTTTCGGACAAAATCGTCGCGACCGATCGGTGGGAAACACCGCCGAGAAGTGGCCATTTTGGATTTTATGTCGACTACGCACGGATTGGCCTTGCGTCGACTTTGCTTGGCAGCGCTACTCGAGTACTGCTAAGCCTTACTGCTAGGTGACGCTGTACGGTTTTTTGTTTTCTCTGTTTAGCCCGCGCATGATTATTATCATCAATGTTGTTACCATTTTGCTTTGCACATTCGCCATTTCAGTCGTGGACTTGCACCTCTCGTCATCTCAATAATGTCTCGGTGAATCGTGTATTCAGACTAGACTGGACGTCACTGCCCCATCCGCTCTTCCCCCCCGCAATGTGTCGCTAAGAACCGCGGGAAGTACTCGACCATAAAGCTAGAAAAGGAGGCGGCCATTCTCGAGCTCAGAGAAAGTTGCCCAACGCAAACGGAGGCCGAACGTGACACAAGGTGCGCAGGCGTAACCTAAAGCGAGGCACTATTTACGGCTTTTTTAAGCCCGCTTAGGCGCAATAAAGGCGAGCTTTTTAATCTGCCGATTTTTCTAACTTCTCTATAAGGCGTATTCCCCGACGAAATTTCATGTGTACCAAACTTCAGCATTCCGAGGATTTCCATGACCGCTCAAATGCATAGAGCGCGGAAGCTTGGATCTTACCACTGACACCGCTGACATCTCCTCAACCGGCTGCGACGTAATCCTTTACATCGGTAAATATGTTCGGAAAAACAGACTAACAACAAAATGGCGGATTGACGTCGCGCGCAAACACCCCGTAACTCGGACGTTTTTTCAGTCCCCGCGAAGTCCGAAAAATCGGAGAGCGACTGCAATGAACTCTCCCTCGGAGTTTCGCTTGCAAGAGGAGTTTCCCAGAAGTCGGCAAACGCAGGCTTCGGCCGGCCTACAGTCGCACAATTAGCTACGCCTCGGAGTACCTTAGCCGTTGCTTAGAATTACCGTTGCCAGGAGGAGGCCCCATCCAAATCCCGTCCTCCAGAAACATTCAAACAGTTTGCGACGAGGCGAGACAACGTCGCCCGAGCCCCTCGACGCTGCGTCTCGCGTAAAGTTAGTAATCTGGAGGGAAAGGTTTTCTGCGTCGAGGCCACTTCCCAACGTTGGGGCGTGGACGTCCCGTGGGTGGTCCCAAATCAATGGCGATGCCTTAATATATGCGGGAAAATGGCAAGGTCTCTACCTATTGTTTCTCTAGCTATATCTCGTACTCGCTCGGGATCCCGCGCTCTGCTCCCGTCTCCCCCCCCCCCGGTATCTGAGGCCCGGGAAAAGGCAATCCCTCCGCACTAGGCAACAAAATGGCGGCACGCTCGGGGAATGGAGTGGGTTGGCGACGAGAGGGGATGCACCGACCTGGTTGACCCAGGCGTCGTCTTGTAAACAACGCTCCAGGATGATATGGGACTCCTTCAACTTTTGCTCCGTCTGCATGCTTGAGACCTGGAGGACAACAAACAGTCCATTTCCTTTTTGCCGGAGAAATGCCGCTTTCTTTATTAGATTCCCCCGCCCCCGCGATACCGCCATCGTGGCATCGCCCAAATCGTTGGCATACTGGGTGTTTCCCTTTTCAGGCTTAACACTCTTTTTAGAAAAGGCGCAAAAGCTACTCAACGCAGTCCGTGCAGGCGACGTAATAGGGGGCTAATCATCGCGATACGTCGGACGGCTGACGAATATCCGTCGATTAATTCGTGAAAATGTGGTTTCCACGAGAAACCTACCGAGCTTCGTCGAAAACCACTACATCGGCCAAGTTTCTAAAGATTTGAAGCGCGTGGGAAGGGCGTTGCGAGGCCCACCTTGTCCTTGCACTTCTGGAAGGCGTGGAACTTGTAGTGGTGCAGCTGGCAGTAGGAGCCCAGGGGCTGGGCACAGCCCAAGCAGAGCCGGAACGTGCGCTTCTCCTCCTCTTCCTCCTCCGCGGACGTCTCGGTCAGGTCCAGCTTGTTGTAACACGTCCCGGAGAAGTCCACCATGCGCGTTGCGGGCTCGATGCCGCAGCCCTGTTTTGGAACGGCACCCACTGCAGCGACGTTTGCGCCGCTAGACGTCCACGGAGGCTGACAAAACGCGAGAGCCTTTTGGGTGCAGCTCCAAGAGACAATCGATCGAGGAAAACAAATACTTCTTTGAAGCGGGTGGCGCACGCCCTGGACAAAGTATCTGGGTGCTCCCCCGTGGCACTCTACCCAACCGCCGGCTGCTAAGAACCCGGTGCGAGCACCCTACGGCTCGCAGCTAAATGTAGCGGTCCAAGCGTTCACCCAAGAACTACGACAGATGGGAACAGGGGTTCAAAAACTCTGCGCGACCCACCTCGCAGGTGGGGCTGGTGTCTTCCATGTCGGACACCGCCACTTCCGGGAACAAGGTTGCCGCCTTCCACAGCTCCGAACTCCAGTTGCGGGCGTCTTTGAGGGCGCTGCACCGCACCTCGTTCTCGCCGTCGATCGTCTGCATGTTGCTCAGGAAGTACTCGTCTGTCGGCGAGAATGAGAGCCACCAAAATAAGCTCTTTGTCTCGCGAGGGATCATGGTGGACGCTGCAAGCTCTCCGAGCGTTGCGCGAGGCAGCGATACCGAGGGCACACACACGTTCCTAGCGCCGAACCGGCTGGGAGCGTTCCCCGCAGTCCGTTGCGAGGTGAAGCCACACGCAGCTTTGTCGAGACAAGTTCGCCCCCGGGACTCGAATTACCGATGCCGTTTTGAGAGCCCCGTCGTTGCCTCCATAGCTTTAAAACAATATCCAGGCGGCAGCTGCCGCCGAGACAAAGCGCTACGAGACCCCAAAATAAAGTTTTAGTTACTAGAAAGACGAATCCTCTTAGAAAATTTCTAGTGCCTCGTGATGTGCAAAACTTCAACTTATGCTGTCCTGAGATGCGTGTTGTGTGATTTCAACAATTTTAACTTGAAAAGAATTTGGAGATTTTAATTTTTTATGTTTTTTTGTCTAACCAAAAGGAATAGAGAAACCACCCCTTTCTTTTAAAATGTTGAGTTTTCTTTGCTGGCCCTGAAAGGAGTTTTTGGCTGGTTTTAAATTTGCACCGAACCTGAGCGCACTGAGCGTAGAAACTTAATGAAACTTTTCCTTTCAGAAATTTTACTTTATTTTAAAAGTTATAGGCAAACTAGAATTACAAAAACAAGCAAGAAATAACCTCCTTCAAGACGTCGTAGGTCCTGGCTTGAGTGGCCGTGAGCTAGAGGAGGCGTAGTGAGCTCAGCGAGCGCTCACGGCTGCCGCACTCCGTGTCGACGGCTCGAGAGGGCGCCACTAAAGCGCGTGTTGGATAGGCTGTATGAAGCGGGCGGCCAGGGCGGCTCGCGTTGCATTTGCTGCGCAATTAAAAACTAATTCGGCATTTGGCATGACACTTCATTGGCCGCAAACAACAGCAAACACGGGGTAAAGATCAGTTCAGAACGGGAGCCACTTCGCGCTGCCATACTGCCAAATGGCAAGATCGCCAGCCAAGCCCGCGCCAAAGGCCTTTGGAACCCTCGGAACCGATAGGATCCTCGAGCCGGTACACGACCGCAGCGCTGCCACGTATATCCGGTACCTTTCTACATTCGCCGTTCGTTGGTGCCTCATCTTACTAGCCCTTTCTAGTATGCGCCGTTTTTTCCGCCGCTTGGTGGCGAGTATGATGAGAAGTCATTTTTTGTTTCCGTACTTTCTGAACTGCATTCGTTTATTTTCTGATCTAAAACAGTGAACAAAAACTACTTTCATACATAATTGAAACGGTTCGCGATACTTATATTTTGTATCTCGACTAAAAAAGAGCTTTTAGCGGCTCTGACCAGTACTAAGGCCACGACGAAAGACGTCACATATCGTGCGCTTTCGGCAACACGGGTCGCCCTCGTCGGTGGAGGTTTCCGCGTCGTCCGGTTAAAATAGGACGCGCCGATATTTAGTTGCTCTCTCCGTGCCCGCTGGATTGCCCGAACCCCAAGAGACGTGGAAACCGCAAAAAAGGTGGACACTTAAATATGATTGCCGGGCCCCTTTAATAGCGAAGCAGAGAATGGAAATATTTTGCAATTTGCAGCCACGAAGTGGCTGCAAATTGCGTCCCTGTTCCCAGCCACTTCGTGGCTGGGAACAGGTACGTGACGCACGCTTGGATGCATTGTAATAAGCTGGCAAGATGTGGCGTTATGTCCTCAATCAAATGCCATACTTTATAAATATTGTCGTTTCAACGTGAGTAAATGCGTCAAAAACCTCGTATCATCAACCAAGTTGCACTGTATTCAGCTTACATGGCGCCATCTGCCCGACGTGAAAACAACTATTCCTCCCTCGAGCCTCACCCCGTTACTACTAGGTCAGTCGAACTTCCTCGTGGAACGGCAAGCTCTCCACACCTCCGCATCGCTCAGACCAAACTTCAAGGTCACCACATGAATTGCAAGCAGACGCCGCGCACAGAAGGCTCTGAAAGAGAACCCAACCAGATTCCTCGGTGCACTCGGGAAAACATTGCTGCGCACATGACTCGGAAGATGAGCGCACAGATTAGCGCAATGCTACAAGTACAGCCGGCTGAACTCGCAACGAGCCAAGGTGCTCTTGATATCGCGATGGTTTCGTTTTTGTCGGCGGTGGAATGCTTCGGTTCGATTATACGTCGACCCACCCACTTCAGATTTTCAGAAATCGAAAAATGGGTCGACCTGCATTCGCGTAAATACTACCCCTTTTATTTGACCCAAGTCCAAACATTGCTGCACGGGCCCTTTAAAGCACGATCAAGGTGGCAGTTAAGTAGACAACCTGAGAGCACCGTGAAAATCGAATGCAACCTCGTTGCTTGATCTCCACTTCGCAATAACTGCCGAGCGTTCGCCGAAAAAAATATTTCATTCGCAGACTTCCTTCGTGAAACGAGTGCCATTCGAGGTCATGTAGACAAAGCTAGGAGGAAGCTATTCAAAAATTCCGAGCCGCCCAAATTTGTTTCCTCGATTTCCCCCCTTTAGGGATGATTCCCTCCGGGAAAATATTTTTCCCCAATGAGAGGGCAGACTCCTGCGCTCAGGGGGGGGGGGAACGCACCATTCTCCTTGTGGACCTCGGAGAGGAAGTTAGGATCCAGCACGTGACTCAGCAGCGTCTGCAGGTACACCTCATACTTCTCCAGAAGGTTCTCCACAGTCCGGCTGGCATTCCTGGCTTCCGTTCCGTTCCTGCGTCAAGGCAGGACAACATCGGCGGTCGCCCTCTCTGTCCGGTCAAAAGAAGCTCGACACCCCCCCCCCCAAAAAAAAAAAGAAAAGCAGAAAAGCTGCGACTCACTTTTCGCCGCCCGTGCCACCCAGGGCATTGCTGTGGATCTCCAACACCTCCACGACGGTGGCGGATCTGCTGTTCGAGTGCACGCGGACCGTGATACTCGTGTACTTGGCCTGCTCCAAGGGGTTCCACGCCGAAAACTGAAAGGCAAACCGGAGACTTTGTGGCGACAGCCCCAGGAGCCAAAACGAACACAACCAGTATTAGCGGCCAAGGGTGTCGCCGTAATCGACCTTCCTCGGACGTTTCTAGAAACTCACGGAGGAGATGTTGCGGTAGAGGAGGCGGTCCCCGGACTCGATGGCCTCGAAGCGCTGGAGCAAGGAGCGGCCCTCGATGCGCCAGATGGGAGGCCGCGTCTTGCTCCTGTCCGCCACGGCCAGGATGTAGTCGCCCGTCTGCGCACGTCCGTCGCCCACGATGACCCCACGCTCCACAAAAACCTCCCGTGGCTGGCTGCCCATGCCACTCGCGAGAGCCAACCGTCACAATACCCCGTCGGCGGAGGACGGGGCTCCAAATATGACGACTCGAGAAAAGAGCACCACATTCGTTGTGCAACGTGCCACGACGCGGACCGTTTTTTCCTAGCTGCAAACATATTTTCAGCCACGCGTCGCCGGCCCAATTCCCCACACAGATTGCGGAGACTGGATCTCACGTGTGCTTTGCGCTCAAACAGACATTCCAAATCTTTCGGAGTGTATAATATAAAGAAACCGAAATGAATGGCAAAGTCCCATCGTCGGCTGTCTCAATGAAATCACGGGCAAGCGAAAGTCCCGCTGGGACCAGAGCTTGGTTGCGCGCGGTGGCTTTTCCAAATCTCGTTTCTGAAGGTTTTCTCTATGGCGTGTTGTTCGCTCGTGCCTGCAAATAAGCAAACGGATTGAAGTCCCAACATTGTCGATTTATTCCTCGGCGCTCGCGAGCCCGGTGGTACGAGACTCGAGCACTTTCTTCCATCTCTTCCATGGAGAAAAGCGGCGAGCGTCAAAAGCTTGCTCACGCCAAACACGCAGCTCGAATTTCGTGGATAAGAATCGGGAAAGAAAAGATTCCGAGGGAATATTTCTCGGCTCGCATCACGTTCAAGACCACTTGTTTTTACCCCGTAAGCAATTTGAATCTGGCGACGGAAAGTAGCGAAATGATGGACATTCAGGGAAAACTGAAGTGGTTCTGTATTAAACAGAAAAACACTCAAATCGTCTTCATACGGCCTCCACAATCCCAAATATCACAATCCTATTCCAGACTGATGTGCCCCACAAGAACGCTTTCAAAATAGGGCCCCCTTCTTCTCTTCACGTTCGGTGAAAAGAGGGAACCGTGCGCTACAAAGTGCTAGGCATTTCCGTGCCTTCCGTAAGCCTCGCCCAAACAGACAGAAACGCCTTCACTAGCAGCATGCGCGAGGCAGTTGGAACCTCTGGGTACGACGTCACAAACGGCGCTTTGTTTTTCATTGTTTCTCGCACAGATCGGTATATTTGGGCTCAATGCTCGTGATACGCAAATTCACGGGGAAAAAAATATGCTAGAATTCACCTCTAACTCGTTTTTTTCAAGAACCTTTTCAGTTTCCTTTCAGCTTTATTTAGTTAAACTTTCGACCACATCGCTGGAGGTGCCACGAAAGTTGCAGCCATATTTAATACGTGCTTTTGCAGAGTTTGGTTCAAGAACGATCTAACAGATGGTCGCTTCCGGTGAGAAGCGACCTTCAAAAAAAGTTCCCCGATGTGCATCGAACCATTTTGGATGGTTTCCCAAGCAGTACTCAGTCTTAAGAAATCCCCCGAGCGGTCTTGCTCACGCTTCGTTCCCGGAGGGCTCGATCAATGCTACCGTGCAGGTTATCGTGCGGCCGTCCGACGCCAACGACGATCCAATTGGGCGGAGGTGAAACACGGTTCAGCAAGCTGCCAACCGGTTTCTCCCGCCATTTAGTGCGTAAAATGACAATACTAAGATTTTTTTCGGACAAATTCATTTTTTTGGACTACTCGAGAATTCAGACTTTTACTCGAGCCTCGCTCGGCCCGAATTATCGGTCGAGGACCGCACACAAAAACGGGGGACTCAAAGTTTGGACCAATCGTCGCTTGAACTCCGCCATTTTCTCCATAGTCCCCAATTCGCTTCGAAGTTAACGCACCAACAAACATCGTTCAACTAGTAACTCATAGATTAGGCCAAAGTGATTTTTTTTCCCCCAAAGTTATTCGATTGACAAAATCTAATAAATAAAGGACCAACCAAATCCTAAAAATAGGAACCCTACGTTTCGAGGCCTACTCGGTCCTTCTCCGGGGGTGGCTATGGCAATGGCCCTTGAGGAACGGCATTGTTCCTCCTCTCAGCGATATGGCAGAGCCCGTTGATACAGACTGTAGGCAAAGTGGCACCTGGTTGTTTCCTGGCATCATTTGAATCTGCCTCAAGGAAAAGTCTATGCAGGGGGTTCTCTGGTTCAAAGCAAACCGGTGGTCTTTTGACGTCGCAGTGCTCAGCAACTGGCTCACACGGTGTTTGGTGGTCCTTTCGTTCCCGTTCTTCGTCTCGCCAACGTAGCCGCTCGCGTTTTTTTTGTTTCGGTGGGTGATCTCTCGGACGAGGCGGATCACCCGCCAAAGAAAAAACGCGAGGCGTGGAGAATGAGGTGCAAACGTAAGTGCACTTATCGCGTTTCGCCCTTTTTGAGGCACCACTCGACTATGTGCCACACCGAGACTGCGCAACTTTCACAAGGTCTCCTCTTATTAGAGTGTGAGCGTAAGCGGGAGTTCCTCCGCATCTTCGGTGTTGGAGCAAACTCCGAATTCTCGCGTTCAAGACGGAAGGTGTTTGAATGCGGTAGATGATGTACGAGTCCTTTTCCCGAGAGTGTGCCAAATGAGAGGATAACAGACGTCCATAGGGCGTCCCGAGTCACCAGGCTCCGTCTAAAATGGACCGTAAGAATCGATGCCTGCACGCAGCAATCTAAACGTTTTGGCAAAGGTGTATTTCACGGGTCCATTTTTTCATATTGAATTGCAAAGCGTAGCTCCGCATCTGTAAAAAATAGGGCCAAAAAACTTGCCAGGGTCTACGGCGGGCCACACACGACTGAGTGGAGTGGCGGGGCGTGCTTGGCACACGTATTGATAGATGGCGCTACCGCCTTATTCGGACCAGTCGCGACGACCGTCATTTAGTAAAATGAAGATAATCTTTTTGTCGCGTACCTTCGGTTTAAAAAATGCAAACAATAAAAGCAAAAACTGAAGCTAAACAAAAAAAATGCGGTGTCGTAACGACAGATTTTTTGCTACCGACGTATTTCGTCCGCGTGTCGTCCGCTTTATTTCGCTGGGCGGCTACACCTTGAAACGCTGCTCCCGACGCCATCTATCAATACGAACGCCAAACGCGCCCACTCGACTCGGTCGTCTGCATCGCCGTCCGCTGCTGACCCTGGCAAGTTTTTCGGCCCTATTCAGGGGTGGAACTCCTGAAATGTATTTGGGAGCAGCCAAGGGAGTAGCTGAAACAGCTGTTTTGGAGCAGGTTGGGAGCAGCTAGAACTACACCCTGGAGAAGGCTAGGAGCAGCTCAGATCAGTTTTCATTGCGCCTACACTTGTCTCTTAGACAAGCATGGGAGCAATTTCAATTGTGCTTAGCAGCACAGATGAACATGAGTGGTTAGGAACCTAGGTAAATGGGATGTAACAGATGCGAAAACTTGGCCTTTGTAAGAACCAAAAAGCAAGTACCATATGTTTCTGAAGAGCCATCCCACCTCGTTCGGACCACCGTAACAAGTAGGCGTGCCACATTGTCGCACTAACTTGCTTTTCCATTCATTTATCCCAAGGACTAGTAACGAATGGAACCACCTGCCCGCCTCCATCGCAACGACTAGCGACGACTTCACTTTCAGATCCGCCATTGAGTGTTGCGTACTTTCTCTATAACCTGCGTTGTCTGCATTTTTCATTCTCTGTTAAATTTCTGAATTAACTACCTGTTGTTGGTTTTTATGTTTTCCACCACTCCCTTCTGCAACGCCCCCTGGGCCTTGAAGGTACTGAAATAAATAAATAAGTAGTGTCCTTGATATTTTCTGAGTGGCCTTCAGCTGCTCAAAATGCAAACCAGTACTGCTTATAGCACAACCCACGCGTGCTTGACGTAGTTATTATATGTGCGAACCACGTGACGTGCGTAAGCAACGGACGTGCAGTTGCGCGGAGGAATAGGGCAACAAAGTTTGAGTTTATCCTATTGTGCAACTCAATATCGAAGCAGCAGACTACGATTAACGAAGTTATCGTATCTGAAGCAATAAGCGGGAGCAAGGTTAAAGTACGCCGAGCAGATCTGTCGCTCGCGTGAGAGCTGCTGGCCGGCAAGGTTTGGGATCGGACTGCGTTTCAGTTCTATCAAATCAAGGTTTATCTTGCAGGAATGCGGTTCCAACTTCTAACGGTGAAGTTCTAGAAGGAATCTTTTGCTAATGGGTTTTCAACTGGTTGACGTCCAGAATCCGGGCCGCAGAGCCTCGGGCAATCTGACGCTTAACGACTCGACCTCACCTCGGCCGACTTGCTTAACCGCTTATGGTCGAGGAATAACAATCCAGTCGCAGGTGACGTAGCGCTTGGAATCTGACCCCCCGAGTTTTTTACGGCGCTTCCGACTCGGGATAAACGGGGAAAACAAACAAAACAAAGGATTGCAAGGCCGACCAAGCAAAACGCGCCACTTGTTGCCAATCGAGTCGATAAAAACCGAAACCAAGACAAAATACAATTTCTTTGGCGCACGTTGGGCGATTTGGAGCATAATGGCGAAAGGTATTGGCTGTGGTGCAGTTTCCACAAAATGGCGCAGGATGGCGCAGACAAATGCATCTGGCGCAAAATGGTGCAAATGGCACAGCCGTTCCACCCCTGTCTATTTCTTACAAAAAGGGAGTGATGCTTCGTAATATTACGAGAAAAAGGGACCCGTGAAATACAGCTTTGACGAAAAGATTAGATGGCTTCGTGCAGCCGTCGATTTTTACGGTCCAAGGCCCACGTTTGCAAACGGTGAAGTGATGCTGCGAAGGTGAGCAGACCTTTGGGCCTCTCCGTGCCAACATAACGGGGAAGAAGCGGGGTATATTGAGGGAGGTTTGGTACCCGCCCTGGAGAGCCAAACGTAATCTGGACGGCGGATCAAGCGCCTAAACGTGCTCCTCGCTTACGACCAAGCTCCACCTTAGGGATCTCTACAACGCCGGCGCCATGCGTACGACGCTTGGAATTACCGTATTCTCTCTTTCTCGGCTCGAAAAGCTTCCCCTGGTCGCGAAGGACCATTTCTGTTCTCTGGATCTGGCAAAAAGCGCAAAGCCTCGAGCGAGGTGCAGTTCCAGGGCCACCTCAAAGACGGCATGCCAGCGGTACGAGCAAAATGCTTTAACCAAACGGCGCAAGGACTCGAGGCACGAGGTGCGGCCGGGAGGACGCTCGCTCACCTTGAAGCCGCCGCCGTCGGCCTTGATCTCGAGGGGCGCCGCCTCGGCCTTGCCCGTGGGGGCGGCCCCCGGGCGCCGGGTGTAGTCCCTGCGCACGGCGGCCGGGTCCCCCTCCGTGGGCAGCTCCACCTTCAGCTGCAGGGACTCCGGAGACCCGCTGTCGGGAGCCAGGTCAATGCTCCCGCCTCCCTTGCCGTTGGGCTTCTTGGCGCCGCCCTTGCGCGCCCCGGGCCGGGCCGGCTTCGTCTGTCGTAACGGAGAGGCCGCTTAGAGGGACGCCCCAACAACTCCTTTCGTTAGGCGCCCCCAGAGAACGGCGCTCAGAAAAATGGACCGTCTACATTGCCTCCGACGCTGCGCCGCTCGTCGGCCCGTAAGACCGTGCCGCGGCCCAAAGTCCCACCTTGGCCGGCTTGCCTCCCTTGCCGCGTCGAACCGGTTTCGCATCCGGTTCGGGCTCGGTCGCCGCGGGTGCGGGGGGCGGCGCGGCGACTCCTGCTCCCGCTGCTCCCTGCAAAGGGTCGAGCGACACCATCTAGAAACCGGGGAGGTACGCTCGAGCGACTCTTCCACTGCATTCCAGCAAATAAGCCGAACAAATGATTAAAACCAGACTTTGCAGCTTTCGAGGTGCTACGAGAGCTCTAGCTAGTCCTACTTAGGTCCTTAAAAAGCATCCTATCGTCTGCTCAACACGGAGCGGATGACTCGCACCTATAAATACGAAAGAAACGTATAGACCACACGCGAGATTAGAATGGCACAAAATATCGTTTTACACTCTCTTTTTCACAAGGACTGCCGAAGGCTCGTTGCTAGAAATTGCCGTGACAACTCACGATCGTTATTGTATAGCTAGGAAGAATGTAACGAGACAGCTTTCTGGGAAACATACCTCTCTGTTTGTTTATTACGAAGAATGAAAAAGTCCTCGTTTGCTCTCATGTGTTCGGTGCAAGGTGGATGCCTCTGTTACACGTTGTGCGCCTCAGTTCTATCATGACCCTGAGGATCGACGCTGGTCCTAAGAGAAGAAAATATTCTGGAAAGACAGCTTTTTCATTTTGAATAATAGAAGGCCAATAATTTTACCTCGCATACTCGACGTTACACGAAAAAGGCGGATGAAAGCTCTTTTGAACGTTGTGTTTCACATTCTTTTTTAAACGAGTAAGTAATTTGCACCGAAGAATGATTAAAAAATATTTTAGCAAACCTTTCGAAGGAGCAGTCTTCTGCTTTTTCACTACAAGACAAAATACATAAAGTAAACTTATCACACTTGCATACTTCATTTCATGTTGCGTTGGACCGCAGAGGAAGGCTAAGGGCCTCCACAGCCAATCATGTGCCAGTTTAGAAGCAACGTCACCCGGCTCCTTGGCTGTGTATCAGTGCCCGAGTAAAAATAGCCCTGGTTGGAAGTCTGGCGTAGATGCGGTGCGGATGAAACGTTTTTGTTTGCTCAGTTTCCGAAAATTCAACCCTGGTTTACTTGGCTTGATTTACCGCGCGAGGCAAGTTTGAGTATCTCTGGTGATGATGGCTGGAACCTCTTGATGTACCCAGGTTGATGCGCAGCTGTGCTTCATTTTGCGAGTGGTGTCGATGGGATGGCACGATATGCTATCACTACAGCCCTGCACGGATAACGGTTTGAGTATCCGCATCTGCAGACTTTGTATCGGCATCCGAACCGCATCTGCAAACTTTTTACATTATTGTATCCGATCCGCATACTTTGTATCCGTATCCAAACCGCATCCGCAAAATGGGGAACCATGTTGATGTTCTTGCTAACCACCCGAGGTTACAATTACGTTTAGACTAGCAAAATCAGTGGCAATCACGCCGACCGCGTTCTTCCCCGCCGCACGCGGAATCGGAAACTTTCACCTGTGGCCCCTTAACTTTCCCCTGAAATCTGAACGACTAAGAAAAAAAGTTCTTAAAAAAAAAAAGTTAGAAAAGAGAGGAGGAGAAGCAGTGGTAGGAAGACAAAATCCTTTCTGTGAAGTCACCGAGCGTATGCGGCCGCCTCGAGTCTCACACGGTGTTTTGTGTCAGCCAGCGGGCAGATGCGCCGCTAAGTCAGAGTCCAAGGCCTGATCGGATCGACTAACGTGTTCTTCGAGAAAGACCGCTGCCTGCAGGCGCCCAAATACATATATTGAAAGAAAACATGTTTTTTTCTTTTTGCTCGGGGCGGCTACGTAGGTTGCGAGCGGCAGCCCCTGGCATTGCTGGCGCTCTGGCGTCGTAACCGGACGAATATGAATTACCAGAATTTCTTGGCTAGAACTCTAAGCATACAAAAAAGAAACGGGCAATTTAAGGGCTGCCTATGGGCGTGCGCCGCTAATTTTGAAACTTTGCAAGCCGTGGCGCAGGGTCGCGCTCGCTGTCAAAGCATTCTTTTCTTTTTGGTATCACGACCACACCACTCTCTGCGGAGAGGGGGAGGTTTCTTCTACTCTCTTGTGACTTGTTCGTTTAAGGTTTTCTTTGCCCGAAAAAGTTTTCCGCTCTTTCCCCGACAAAGAACGAGCTTTTTCGGCACGACTGATGCCCTGCATTCTTTATTTTTACTTTTTCTATACATAACATTTTTGACGAGATGAAATGCACTAGCTGAAGCCATCTTCAGTAAGAATCACATCTTTCTTCGGATCCCTATCGTTTCTTCGAAACGCATTTTGTGGAAATACGTTTCGTGGACAACTTTTCACGGACACACGGTTCATCGATGCTGTACGTTTTGTGGGCACGTGCCCCTGCGACGCTTTGTCGACAACTTATTTCTTCACTAAGCCGCTAAAAGCTAGCGCGCGATTCACTAAGGCGTGCTTAACCAAACCATGTCCCCCTCCCCCCTGTAATCCAGGCGAGACGCAAAAAGTTGGTTACGAAAATAGCAGGATTGTGTGCAACGAAACGTCTCAGGTTTTTCGATGGAACGAACACGGGAAGCCTTTCGATGAAATGTTGCATGTCGACGAAGCAATCTGTAGATCGGGGGTGGCCAGGACAACCCGGCCTAAGAGCCGCAAGCAAAACCACGGAAGTTCCCAGAGCCGCATGGAAGAGGAAAGGGACAAACTTTTGTCCAGAGCAATAGATGAAATTCATTCAATGTACACGAGCCAAAAGCAGTCTGTAGGTAAGGTAGTAGTAGCACTACCAAGCCGCAACCTCTCTTTCGATTTAAAACATGTTCCATTTCTCTTTTTAAGGAAGTGCTTGTGTGACCGGGAGGGAGGGAGCTGCGAGCCGCACTTTAACACGTGAAGAGCCGCATGTGTCTCGGGAGCCACAGTTTGGCCGCCCCTACTGTAGATGAAACATCAGTCGACGGACTGAATGCCACTGGACAAAAATTTAGATCCGGATCCACGGATATCTGCAGCCGCAACCCCTGACATCCGCATCCGATCCGCAATCCGCCAAAATCCGTCTAATTTTTATCTGCAACCGCCAGTTTGCTGCGGATATCTGCGGATAATCTGCGGATATGCAGGGCTCTAGCTATCACAGAGGCCTTGGACGTCGAGGGGAAGCAGGGTCCGCAGAAACTCTTTGCTTTTTGTGGCATGCCGGAAAATTAAACGGACAACGTAGGCCTGGACAATGGAACGTCGACTCCGACCCAAAGCCCTCGCAAAATGTCTTGCCTGCATGGACTCGCAGGCCAGGAATTGTGTGTCGGATATTAAAGTGACAATGCCGACTACCCTAAAGACTCACTAAAACTGCACTACAGGGAGCTGTTGGGAAGCAACTGATGAAGCACGCGCGGCAAAATGCAACTGGTTTTGTCCTTTTTGCAATGCCAATAAAAGCATGTGGCACTGACAAACAAACATCTTTTTGCCCGCGATACCAGACATGTTGCCACTGGCACTTTTTGCACTCATTCACCACAGCTCAGACTTCGTTGAACAATTGCATCGTGCGATTAGCTCGGAGGTTCCGAACAAAGTTTGTAATACACGCCGAGAACAATGCTGCGCTTCTCTTACAAATGTGGATTTTTTTCCAAAACCGTTCGGAGGCCAGCCGGTGAAGGAAACGCAGGAACCTCCGGCGGCGACGGGCCTGCCATCATAAGCCATTACGGCAAACGATAGCTCATTTGGTGGGTAATTTAACGTTTAAATTATTCGCTCCAATAAATATCTCATTCGGGTTCAGTTTGTCCATAATAACTTTTAACTGGAGAACTTTCATTCCGAGGTCTCTTTGCAGTATGTCACGTCGGCCATGGTGCCACGAATGTAGAATAAAGAAATGTGACGGGCAACGACCCGTTTGCCAACCGGAAGTCTAGTTCCTCCAAACAAGCTACACATTCATATATTAAATATCACGTTTGAGAGCTTCATTAGAACATAAATTATCTGTCACTGGTACAAAACACAAACATTACGTTAAAAGCCTCGTACTATCCAAGTCTTGGACTTTCCAATGCGTAAGAATGCCAGGCCGCGTCACAGCCTTCCATTATGGTTTGACGCGAGATAAAAGAAAATGTATTAAAACTCATAAAAAAGATTTTTAAAAACTTGAAGCGACTTTTACTTTTGAAGTCCTATAATGCATAAAATAGAGTATTTAAGGTGCGATAGTTCTAAAGTGTTTAGAAGACATTAGACCGTCGTTTCAGAGAGTGAAGAAGAACCTTAATTTTAAACTGGGTGAAGAGGGCACGCCAGTTTTCCAGCAAGATTTAGTGGGAAAATTGAAGCAATGTGTATGGCTCGTGCCAACGTGCGAAACACTTACATCACACATGCACGTGCTACAAAATCCAAACTTCTCTCCCTTTTTGGACGGCACGAAGCACGGGAATTCCAAAGTCTAGGACTTCGGGAAAACCAGAAAGTAGCTCTTTTTTAAGGTTTGAAGTTCGCCATTGCGCCGCCAAGCCACCGCGACCGGGGGAATGCTACGACTTCCTGTGCAACAAACACAGACGCCCCACTTCTCGCCTCAATACTGGCCAACCACGTCTGAGCACGCCGAACCAACGTGCGCTGCCAAGCACACAAACAAAGGCTCTGGGCTTAGGATTGGTTTGGGATCCATGGCCACCGGATACACAGATAGTAAAAAACACGACGCTCCCGATGGATGGATGGATGGATGGATCTGGCTAAACCCTGTGAATCGGGCGGTGGCTTGCGCCACCTAGCCAACATTATAAATCTAATTATATGTTTTGAATTCCAAGATTAAATCTCACCCCTGCCTCGATTTTAGCCACCAGTCTGATAACCTCCGCTTGGTTATTTCTACCCGTGTAAAGTCTATTTTTCCTTCACTGTCTTTAAAACCCAATGCTTTGATTAAATCCGCCCGGGCACTGTTAACTGTTGGGTGAAGCCCTTTACAGAAAAGTATTAAGTGTTCAGCCGTTTCCTCCTGCTCCCCACACACACTACATAAAGTGTCCATCTCCTGGTACTTAACCCGGTACGTCTTAGTCCGCAATACTCCTGTCCTGGCCTCAAACAACAAAGAGCTTCCCCTAGAATTATCGTAGATATTTTCTTTGCAAATTTCCTGTTTGAACATTCTGTACGTCTCCAGTGCTGGTTTTGTCTGCATACCCGTTTCCCACAGACCCTTCTCTGTTTCTTTTATCCTTTTCTTAACCCGTAATTCCTGGTTGGCGCCCCCACTGCCGCCCAAATATTTGCTTGATAATTTTCTAGTTCGCTTTCTCCATTTGGTATCTACATTCCTCATGTACAAATAACTGAAAACTTTCCTAGCCCACTGCTCTTCCTCCATTTCCCTCAAACGCTCCTCAAATTCTATCTTGCTGCTAGCTTCCCTGCCCTCGAATGACGTCCATCCCATGTCGCCTTGTACCCCCTGATTCGGCGTATTTCCATGAGCTCCCAAAGCAAGCCTACCTACGCCCCGCTGTTTAATTTCTAACTTTGCTTGAATATCTGGTCTCATGCACAGGACCGCATTGCCGAAGGTCAGGCCGGGAACCATGACCCCTTTCCAAATACCCCTCACCACTTCATACCTACTGTAATTCCACAGAGCCCTATGTTTCATGACGGCTGCATTCCTGCTACCTTTCATCGCTACATGTTTTTCATGCTCCGTTAGATACTCAACACCATTATTTATCCATACCCCAAGATACCTGTACTTATCCACTACCTCCAACATGACCTCTTGTATCCTATGCTCGCCACCATCTTTATCATTAAAAATCATCACTGCCGATTTTTCTTGACTAAATTTAAGACCTAGTTTATCTCCCTCTGTACCACAGATATCCATTAATTTCTGCAAATCTTCTTTGTTGTCGGCCATTAGCACTATATCATCTGCATACATCAGCCCCGGTAGTGATTGTTTAATCCATTCACCTTGCTTGATGAAAGAAAGGTTGAAGCCAAACCCGCTCCGCTCTAGTTTGTTCTCCAATCCCTGTAAGTATAACATGAACAACAAAGGCGACAAAGGGCAGCCTTGCCTAAGCCCCCGCTCTATCTCTATCGGCTCCGATACATTTGTTTCCCATTTTATAAGCACCTTGTTGCTATTATATATATCTTTTAAAAGATTAGTTACTCCAGCTTCTACCCCTAATGTACCCAGTATGCCCCACAAATTCTCTTGAATTACACTGTCGTAGGCTCCTTTGATATCCAGAAACGCTAGCCATAGGGGCCTTTGTTCCTTTTCTGCTATTTCGATACACTGCGTTAAAGAGAACAGATTGTCCTCTAACCTCCTTTGCTTCCGGAACCCATTCTGCAGCTCCCCCAGCACCCCCTCGCTCTCCACCCATGCCTGCAGTCTATCCTTTATAATCTGCATCACCACCCTGTAAATCACTGACGTCAGCGTTATAGGACGATAGTTGTTTATGTCCGCTTTGTCCCCCTTTCGTTTATATATCATGCTCATCCTGCTTAGTCTCCATTCATCGGGGGCTTTCCCATCCGTTACCATTTTATTCACTGCCTCTCTTAATGCTTGCTTAGATTTTGGGCCCAAGTTCTTGATTAACATAATGGGAATACCGCCAGGGCCTGTCGAGGTGCTACTAGGAACTCTTTTCTCTGCCCTTTCCCATTCTCTTTGTCCGAACGAATCCATAGCACTTACCGGTCTGTTCTCCTGCGATAAAGCATGTGCCTCATTCCTTCGGTCTCTAAATTTTTCCGCCATCATTGTCCCTATATGCTGCATTGCCTTATCCCCTTCCAGTCGAGTACCTTGAGCTGTAACTATAAACCTCTGTTCTAAACTTGTCTTATTACTCATGGAGTTCAGATGTTTCCAAAATTTCTTGGCTGCATTTTTATCCTTTTTGTGCACTTTTGACAACCATTGGGACCCCCTTGTTCTCATTTTCTCACTGATTAAACAGGATGCTTCCCTTCTATAAATTATGAAATTATCCCATTTTCTGTCTACTTCGGCTTTTGGTTCCCCCCTTTGCTTGGAATGTCTGTGTTCCCTGGATGCTTCCTGGCGTCTCTCTATGGCGTTCTTAACCTCCCCATCCCACCAGCTCTTGGGTTTATGCCTTCCTTTTTCTCTAGGTCGGACCTTGGATAGCTCTAGCTCAAATAATCTCATTAAATTTGTGTAAGTCCATTCTGCTGTGGTATCGCCAGAAATTAATTCCTCAATTTGTTTGGTTGCTATCTCCAGTTGCTTCTCCGAGTAAAAGATCCTATCTGGTTGTTCATCTTGCATCTTTCCTTTCCCGGTTTCTCTCGTAAAGCTCAGCTTGATCCGTTTGTGATCACTACCCAGGCTTCTGACCCCAAGTTCATCTATGTTCATTACCTTTAGCCTATCATACATCCTATGCGACATTAGTGAATAATCTATCGTCGAATGCAAACTCCCTACCTCCCAAGTTATGAGCCCTTCACACTTCTCGGTACTGCTGCATAAAACCAAGTCATGTCTTTCACACATATCTAGCAGCATGTTACCTGTCGAATCCGTGTACCCGTCCATATCTTCAATGTGTGCATTCATGTCTCCTAGTATAATAATCTCAAACCCCCTCCCTAGTTCATTAATGTCACTTGCTATACATTCTATAATTCTTTTGTTTTCCTCTTTGGCATCTGCTCCTGTCCACAAATACACAAAGCCAAGTAGTGTTTGCTCCCCCGCCACTTTTCCTTTTAACCATAAATGTTCCACACAATCCTGTTTGACCCTTTGCCACCAGCAATGAATGGTACCTACCGCCCTCTTGTGGCGGTGCAAGGTACCACCAGCAAAAGTTTTACAAAAAAAAATGTAAAAAAAAAAATATTTCATATAGGTACTTTTTTTTTGTAAAATTTGAAGCAAGATTTGTAAAATCGTAAAATTAGTCCCAAACTGTACATTTTACGAAAAATTCGGAAGAGTTGGCAGGCATGTATAGGCCACATGATGTCAACTGACATCATATGAGCTACTATACACCAATTCAGCTTCCCCGCTGAATGTAGCGGGACAAGCGTGGACGGAGAAAATTTGGGGATTTGGGGGTTGGCGTTTATAAAGCTGCTTTCAAATATTTTTCTAAGCCAGTTCCCTTCTGATCCTCCAATATTTCGAGTATGCCTTAATGTTGTTCTTTACGACGGACCGAACGAGGCTCTGCACATGCGAGGGAGGCCTCTCACCTTGGCTGCGTCCGGTATCCAGACGGGGTCCGAGTCCGAATCGTCGTGCTCCAGCTCGGGCTCCGACGGGGAGAGGTCCTCGGGGTCGGACTTTTTCCGCTTCCACCCTGCGGGGGAAACCGCTTTACGCGCAAGGCGACGCGGCCGTTCCGCGGGGGCGAGGAAATCTCGCTCGACTTCCCTCCGACGAAGCTTGCACCTAAAGACGGCAGCAGATCCCAAGTCCCTTCGGGAGCCACCCAGTGTACGCGGGGCAGCCAAACCCTAGCTTCGTTTTGGAAGTGCATTGCAACACTGCAATTGGTGGCTTCCAAATAGACACCAAGGAATCGGGGCTGGCAGAACCTGCTTACAAGGTGGGTGCCAGTTCTTTTGCAGATCTGGAGCGACAGGGCTAGAACCAAATTCCCCACTTCCTTCCGAAATCCCCTCCAAATGTTGTACCAGGAATTTCCCTTTTTGTAGTTCACTGCTGGCTCCAAAGACACCAGGGAAAGCACCACACCAGACACACTCGGTGGCTCCGTTGCCACGTAGAGCAACTCCATCTTGGGACCTTCCCCGCCTGTTAACGAGACAGATGCAAACGCAGCTGAAACCTCGCAAAGCATTGTCCGTTGTCATCGCCATCTTTGCAACTTTGCCGTTTCAAAATCTAGATCCCCGCGGCGCCCAAAGTGTTTCTCGCCAATGTCGGCATATTTGGCACTTGACCCAGCTTCTCGACGGGGCTCGTCCTATCCCTATTTTAAAATAATATTATCCACTTTTCTCGAAACAAAAATTCTTTCGACGCCACGAGCACCAGCATTGCACGCCGCGGCAATGTGAAGCCGCACGCTCGTTCGCTCGGGTGTTTCTCGTTTCAAAAAGCATCTTTCTGCGTAAGAGCAAACGGAAGCTCATATCGCGAGACTCGTTCACTGAGACTCGTAAAGAATGGCCTGCGTTTTGATGACATCATCGAGAGCGGACCCGGTCGAGCGTCACCGTACGAGTTCTCATAAAATGGTGCGTCACGGCAGACCGCCTACAGTAGTCTCGCCATAATTCCAACTCGGATATTCTGTGCCTCCGGTTATTCGAGCACATTTCGAAATTTCGGTTGTCCCACTATCTTCTTAATTTACAGTCATTTTGTAGCCCCTCTCGGAGCAGCCAGAAATCCATTATGGAACAGCAAGAAGTCATTTTGGAGCACGAGCATTTCACTTTTATTCGCAGCACCGTGAATATCCTATGCTAAGATTTGTGCGTTGGCCTATCCAACTCACAAACATGCTTTGCCTTCACACTTGCGTGCAACGGCAGGTTTGATTTCCTCAAACACAGAAGCAGCCGTTCAGTTGCACATAAAAGCACTGGGAGTGGCAACGAGATGCTCGTCCATGAAGGACCGTATGCACTGCTGGGAATGGCCATTTCAGCTACGAAATAAAATGCAAACCAAATAGTATGTTCCACTAAAATAATGCTAAAAGAATCGAGCGTGCAAATAGATGTTTTATTCCGAGTTCTAAAGGTTGTAATAAAACAAAAAAATTCTTAATTCCCATAAAAAAAAAAAAAAATGTTTTTGTCATTAAATTATGAAAATCAATGCCATTTTGTATGTGGAACCTCACAATACAGAGAATGGCCTGTGAAGGATAAGTATGCCTTCTGAAAACAATCCAGCCAAAGTCGTCGAGTTAATTCCCGAGCTTCCTCGTACAACCTAATCTAGTTTTATTCTACCGACTGTACCTCGAGCAAATAAAACGTATATAGAGGTGACAATTAGACGATAGAGTTCAAACAAAAAGAAACCTATAAAGCAGTTTGTACATATTTATTTTCTCGAGAGTTGTCTAGCTAAATGACAAATTTTGAATTGATATCGCCAGAATACCGCAGTTTATCAGAAATAATGGCCGCAGCCTAATTCAGTCATTTTTACTGCCGCTGCATTAACACTCACAAAGTTCCTTTTTACGGCGGAGTTGTTAAAGGGCTAGTTTCCCTGGGATGGTGTCCATCCACAAAGAAATGTCGACGCAGCACTCTGGTGGCCGCCGTCGCTCAGAGATCGCGGCAACCTTTCCAGCCTTTCCACTCTGACTTGCAGACGGCCATTACTTTATTCCCACCATAGTAGAGCTTCGCTAGTCTCCTTCTTTACCAGAGTAAAAAGGCCGAAAGTTTCTTTAATAATCCCGACGTTTGCGCGTGTGTTTAACGTACTGCCCCGGGAGAATGCTTTCCCTTTAGCCCTCAGGTGCTCTGCAGCAAAGCAAGATAGGCTAAACTGCGTTGCTCACTTCGCGGTTGCTGCTTCACTGCAGTACGCAGGTGCGCGGTGAGAAGCACACTCAACAAAGCTAACTTACACAAAATACCGCGAAAATTCCGAGTACCGTCAGTGCTGGACACTGGCAGAGAGATCAAGTGGTTATTTGTGGCTAAAATCGAAAGTTCTGAAAATCTGCACAAGCCTACCATAACGATCCGGACGTTCAGCAGGGCCAGAGTCATCACACCCTCAGTATTAATAAAGCGAAATAAAGTTTTGGCGCGTGGCCTCACATTTCGGTTAAATGTAGCGGGATGAAGCAGGGTAAGTACTCAGGCGCAGCTTGGTGCAGCAATCGCATCACTGAATGTATTTAGGCCGCTTCATTAAAACGATCTTCCGGCGTAATTCCTACTTTTCTTTCTGGCGGCCCGGTCGGGCGTGTTTCTTGCCGAGCACCGGTGCACTGCGGGGAAGCAACACCCGCGAAGCTCGCTTCTGCGGGTGTTGCTTCTCCCAGTGCACCGGTGCTCGGTAAGAAGTTGACTCAACGGGGCTAATGGACCACAACAGACGACACTTTTGCTGGATGAACAAACTTGGTTATGTTTAGAGGTGTCACACACTGTCTAAACAGTCTACGATAGACAACATTTTTGAGGAATGAACAAACTCATCTCGTACATTTCGCCAATCTTTTATGCGTGACATACCTGCTTATAATTAGTAGGCCTGCGTAGAGGAAATCATCAAATATCTGCTTCGTACGCGTAGCCCTTGATAACACAAATTTGTCTATCATCCTATTTAGATGAATGTTTGACGATTCAAACAAACTGTGCGGCTTCCTGGAGTTTGAATTAATGAGTTCAGCCTGGGAAAGACGAGGGAAAGTGCCGATCTGGGGCGCCCATAACATGGCGGTGACGTGGCTACTTGCAGCGACCGCAGTCTTGCCCTGGGACGGGTCTTGGACCGTCCTATCCCGCCCATGCATCCAAAGTGGTTTCCGAGTGGCAACGAATGATGGAGCAAGCATGCTGTTGCCCAGAACGTTGTGGCTTATGTTTGCGTTCCGCAGGGCTGCAGGGAGACCTGCAGCAGAAGGGGCGCCTGCCACCTCCGCGACAGGATCGCGACATCCAACAGCATTGCAGCTCCCGCGTTCCCTCGGACGTACGGGCGGATGCCCCACCTTTGCGGTGCTGCGGAGTCTCGGCGGGAGAGGCCACCGGCGAGGGGGCCTTGCGTCGCAGGGCGGCCTGCCTGCCCCGCGTCTGCCGGGGGGCCTCGCAAGTCGCGCGGGTGGCGCTCGACGCCACCTGGCGAGCCGAGGTGCGGCGCGTCACCACTCCGCCCGGCGGCTGGACAGGCTTGCGTGTCCGGCGCCCGGCGGCCTGCGCCGGAGTGGCATCCGGGTCCTCCGCGGGAACCGAGGCTCCCTCCGTCGCTTCGTCTGCGTCTGGCGTGAGAGGGAAAGCGCGTCCAAAACTGCGTCTTCGTCTCCTTGTGTCGGCGACGCGCGCGACAGGAAGCGTCGCCACGGTCAGTTTTTTTGTAACTGGCACCACCACGGGCGCATCGCGAGACTGCCAGCTTGGATGGCATTGGTTTGAAAATCGACGGCTACTAGCTTGCACTCAAAAAAATGAAAGCCGTTTACAACTCCCTGTAACGCCGAATTAGAGCGCAGCTCTTGAGGAGGAGGAGGGAAGGGAACTGGGGGGGGGGGGGGGGGGGGGGGGTCAAGTGACCTCGGGGGGCGGGAAGTCACGTGACCTTGTGGGAGTCACGTGACCTTGGGGCGTCACGTGACGTCGGGGGGGGGGGGGGGGGGGGGTCACGTGACGATGCCGATGACGTCATCAGTGACGTCACTGATGACGCCATCAGTGACGATGACGATGCGGATGTTGGTGACGTCATCAGTGACGTCATCAGTGATGATGACGATGACGTTGCGGATGCCGGTGACGTCATCAGTGATGATGACGATGACGTTGCGGATGCCGGTGACGTCATCAGTGACGTCACTGATAACGTCATCAGTGGCTATGACGTCAACGGGGGGTCACGTGACCTCGGGGGGGTATATCCCCAGGTCACGTGACCCCCCCCCCCCTTCCGGGGTCACGTGACCTGGGTAACCATCGTGAGGGTAACCCTAGTAACCCTCGTGAGGGCAACTCTCGTGACCCTCGTGAGGGTAACTCTCGTGACCCTCGTGAGGGTAACTCTCATAACCCTCGTGACCCTCGTGAAGGTAACCCTTTTGAGGGTAACTAACCCTCGTAACCCTCGTAACCCTAAGAGCTGCGCTCTAAAACACCGTCGAACTCGCAATCGACGACAAGCAGCCAGGGTCCCCCCGTCACGGCAAATTGCAATGGTGACTTGGCAGATGGAAACCATAAGCGGGTGCCAACATAGTCCCCAACAGGATTCAAGCGGTAGGGAGTCGAGCTTGGATAACACCAAAGCAGCAGAAATTGCAAATGCTGGAGGCCGTCAGAAAGAGACCTTTGTCAACGACTACAGCCTCGAAAGAAGTCGGCAGAACCCCAGTACGGTCGTTCACACCTCTCACAACCACAGCTGACGCCCCAACGTAGGACCTACACTCTGATTTAACGAATGTCCGCTTATCTCAACCTACTACAGCGAGTTATAAGAGGCGAATATTCTGGGCCTGGAATTGTGCAATCATGGTTGTTCGGAGGGAAGTTAGTTTGCCTCGACCGCCGTTTGGGGTCTCTGCAGCAGTTGAGAGGCCGGGGCAGTACCATCGCTCACCGTCGATGCAGCAAGATGGCCAGGAACTGACGGCCACCACCCCGAGGTTGTCCACGTTTCACCGAAGAATCCGTCGGTTAAATTATGAATGCCGACATTTCACCCGGTCAACTAGAGATCCACAGACCAGCACTACAGCTTACAGAGGGTCGCACAAAGTAACGTGTGGCACGAATTTGAACGTCGCTTTACTTTAGAGTGAGCAGTGTTTCCTTTCTTCTTTGTGCAAGCGCTACCGTTTCCTGTCACAACCAGAATCATGCTGCAATAAATGCGATGGGGACAACAGCTGGAATGGTTCGGATTGGACGGCCGTTCTACAATAGTGAAAAAGAGGGCTCTGTGAGATAGCCGACAACTGCAATCCTAAAGCCCCCGTTATTGAAAGCACACCTACCATAAATACCGGGAGAATGTCCACCCCATTTTCACCGAAAACTGGATCAATGTAGACACGGGCGCTTGTCTGGTCAAATTGGGCAGTTCACGTATATTTTGCAAAACTCCCAAGTTTGGGAAATGTTAAAAGTGGGCGCTTGAGCGAAGTGGGCTCTTCTGCGGTATTTTACAGTAATGCCAGACTTTGGCAGTAACAGCTACAACGAGAAAGCGAATAATAGATGGCGAGCGAGTTCCAAAAAGGTGCGCCGCAATCCATTAATGCTGTGGCATCAAACACAGGTAAAGATGGGGCTTCTGTGAGCTTTCTGTGCTCCAACCTGCTGCCACACTAGCAATCAATGGCGCAGCCAGGGGGGAGGCTTATGGGGCCCGAAAGCCAGCCGACTCTATAATGTACAGATGCATTTGGACCCCTTCTACTCCCCGCTCCGCACCCCAAGTCATGGACATCCAGCCACCTCAAGCCCCCGCCCCCTGGAAAAGAATTCCTGGATACACCCCTGCTGGATTCATCTGATAACTTTAGCTATAGACCTTTTCTGTGTACTCTCAACCCCAGCCACCTAATAGGCGTATCCGGTATGGGCAACGAAAAAATAATCCAACGTTTCAACCTGCAAATAGTAAAAAAATGAAGGGGAGGCAAAAAGAGAAAGTGTGACGGTTACGCTTATATCCTAAATGCCTTCTATTGGCGTGGAAAAGGCAAAACGATGTTTTCGCCCATACTGGAAGTGACGTCAATTCAAGATGGCGGCGCACTTGCAGAAAAGGTTTATAGATAGGGCTCCGTGTTTTCGGATAAATCTGGAAAACTCCGAAAAACACCCGCCGGTAAAATTTAGGTCAATTCGGATTTATTCGATAAACTCCAAATGTTTATGTGTCAATGCCTTTTTTTTTTTTTTTTTTTACAGTTTGATTAGCACAAAGTCAATGGTCCTGGTAAAATTGCAGCATAATTATCTTTCAAATCTCGGACCGTTTTCAAAAGGGGTCCTGCCGCTTGTCTCTTCAAGGTTGATTCAGGGCAACAGGTCGTTCGTTGTACATTCGGTCACGACAAAAGCCACTCTTTTGGTTTCCGGTTTGGGCCATGCGATTTGTGATTTAGAGAAACGAAAGGGTATGTATTGGGAACAGTGAAAGCTATGGACCATAGGGATTGTATAAAATTGGGAAGAGGGGCAGTTTAAACTCTATTACCTCGTTAACCACTCCACCTCACGCGGCCGCGGGCTAGGTTGGTGGAATAGGATGGGATGACTACGAGCTTCCTAGCGACTACGTCCGGGAGTTTATTGATTTTAAGGTATCGGCGTTTATCCAAGTGCCACTTGTGCGTGACTTTTGTCGTGGATAAACAGCGCTACGTTCGTGTCACTTCTTTGTCTGGTCCTCGTCTTTTCGCGCTGTTTTTAAATCCGACGGATAAATTAGTATTGCCAATGGCAATGGCACCAACGCCAAATTCAACCGAAAATATTTCAATTGATACAAGCGCGTCTTCTTTTTTTTATCTGGAATACGTTTACATTCGGTTATTATTTATTTATTTATTTTAATAGGAAACACAGCGAAATTAAACTCCGAATTTCGGAGAATCGGGATTAAAAAATATATAAACTCCGATAAACTCGGCAAAAAATAAACTCCGAAAAACACCCTCCAAATTTGACGAAAAATAAACTCCGAAAACACGGAGCCCTAGCTACAGACCAGGCGTGGTCAAAGCGCAGCGTGCGAGCTGCATGCAGCTCTCCGCCGGTTCAAGTGCAGCTCCCTGGTAAGTGTGCGCCCTTTCCCTCCCCCAAGATGAAAAGAGTTGGAGCATTTAAAAAAAGCTCATGGTCTTAGCAGTTTGGTACTACATACGTACAGCTGGACTTGTTCTTGGCACATAGATGTGTCCAGTCACCCCGTTTCTCTTATTGCTCTAGAAAGAACTTCTAACTGTATACGCGTAACAAGCGTCAGGGGCACTGGCTGGCTAGCAAACCATGCTTTCTTTTCAGCGGTTACAGAAACATTCTGCTGCCTGGTGTTATTTGTTGTAGTTGACAGTTGTCCCCTTTGGAAAGGACTGTTCACTCCATATTGTTTCTTCTTTAAAAAAACTTTTTTTTTTTTACTGCAGTTCTTTGAACTTTTGTGGTTTTGTCTTTGGCTCTAACCCCGAGCCAGTCTGGCCACCCCTGACAGAAGCTAAGGAGCACTTTTGGTTTCAGTTCTAAACAAGCGCATCTGAAACATCTTGTGCAGGGCGTCGCAACTGTTTGGGAGATAGGGGCAACAGTGGTGGTGGTGGGGGCTGAGTGAGATTTGCCGCCCCCTCCCCCGCATTGCTGACGTGACGTTTTAAAACACCACTGTTTTGACGTCGCTGGTCTTGTGATAAAGAGCTCAGAGTTGTAAGAGCGACTTATGTTGGGAGCGTCCTTACTCAGACATCCCCTTCGAGGACGTGCACACTCCATTCATAGGCGTTTGTGATCACCAAGCCATAAAGAAACTCGTATTAAAGGGTTACTACAACGAAATTTCGGCCCTTATTTTATGGTCTATATGTGTTCAAAGGAGCAGTATCACATCGCACACACCGATATCTCGTTAAAAAAGTCACGAAAAGGAATTTTAAAACAAATTAAACGATTAGAAAAGAGCACCTGGTGGATGTTGCTAACGCCTCGTTTGTAATGCTCGTCTAGGAACCTTGACAGCTAGTGACGGTGAGTGTCTCGCCTCCGGCCACGACGAGAGAAGAGGGGCAGGAGGAACTCCCCTCTTCCCGAGAATGCCTTTTGTGTGTCGCAGAAGTCGCTGTTGTCCCCCTACAAGATTACAGAAGATTAACCCGTCACTCAAAATTCGTACAAAAGCAGCCGCTTCGGTGGCTGGAACAACTAGGCCATCCTCTCGACGTCAGCCTCGCCGTAGCTTTGCTCGTCCCGAGACGACCTACGTCACGATTGCGTCGGATGCAGGGTGTAAGATAGACAGGTGGAAAAACGGCCCATACAAGCCTATTGCAGTGCCATGACCGGATTGTGTACTCGTCTGCTTGCGGGTACCCCCGACTTGCGACAGATGGTGCTGCGGCGAGAGGCAAAAAATCGGAATCGGATTTGCGTGGAACTTAATGGAAGAGTGCGGAAAATAAACCGAGAGCACGACAGTCCTCCATTGAAAATCCACGAGAAACCATCTCCGTCAGTTTAGCCGGTCGCCATCGGTCGCCCACCCGGAGCGAGCGTTCGCGGTGCTCCACATAGATGGCGCCACAGAAAAAGAGAAAATCGAGGGGGACGCAATGCGGTCGCTCATTCGGCTCTCGTTTCCCCACCCGTCTATCTTACACCCTGGTCGGATGTCACGTGCTCTAAGCTGGGCCTTGTCCGAGCGCTTGCTAGAGTGGACCGTTTATAACAAAAAATACAGCCACCAGGCTCAAAATACAAATGTGTGATTGTCGTTTACGGATATTGTGGATCATATTCGACGTGTTTTTGAACACGACGGATATATTTCAAATTTTGTCCAAGTATCCCCTTAAGACTTGAGCCCATTCTTACTTCCACGCACGGAGTCCCCTAACCTCGCGAGCCTCAGGCTTGCTACGACTTCACAGAGAACCCTCGCCCCTTTCGACGTGAGGGTCAGGCAGCATACTGGTACTCGATGCTAACGAAAAGTAAAATACTACTAGTACTGCGCTTTACGACTGCGCTACTCGCATTAAGGCGAAGAGTACGGATGATTTAAAACATAAATGTAAGAACAAGTATTAAAATCAGGATGTGCCTACGTCAGCTCTTCAATTCTGAAAGGGGCATGGCATGGGTCAGTTCACGCCAGTGGAACATGCTTGATACCTGAGCCATCTTGGATGTTTCTAACGCATTACAAAACAAATCCCGAGAATGTTCGAGGGGGCAATGGCAGAAACAGCGTTATCGTTCGCATAGCAGAAAACTCCTAATCGTAGATACGCCGGTAGAAAACAAAAGGAATTAAAAAAAAAAATAAACGAGCTAAACGCGGTCGAATTTTAAAGTTGGCCGGAGATACCGTGATCACTTCATTTCCTCGTCAATTTTCACAATTTTGTTTCGATCAGTTAATAAAGCTGTAACTCGCACGCGTACGAGGAGGCGAACGCGCTCTAAAAGCGAGTCTGGTTTGAACGCGCTTAGATCCGACCCTTCCCAGTCAGCCAGCCGATCGCCACCAAGCACGGCGCAAAGCATAGCGATTATCGCACGACTGTAAAAAGCACACATCTTTGACTAGAAAACTTAGCTCTGCTTGAACTAGTGTCGCCTGCGACGTTTCAAAGTCGAATAGGCTATTTTTTTATAGTCATTCGGAAGCACAACTAACGTCAGATTTCATGAACAATAAAAAGGTGACGACGGGGCTAGCAGCGCTCACGTCGACTGTCTCCACCGAGCTCCGACAATCGTCGGAAAATGTGACGAGCGTAGAGTACACTTCGTGCGCCCCGAAATCGCCGCCCGCCGTCGATCTTTCTGATTCGCGATCGGGTTGGGCGGGAAACGGAGAAGAAAACGTTACCTTGCTTGACAGAGGCGTCCGCCATGTTTACAAGCAGAGCAGGCGGCAACTTGGAGCAACGGAGCTTTCAACTTGGGTGCAAACAAGGAGACAGGGTCGGCTTAAATAAACGGCACAAAGGACGCCATGATGAGTGCATCAACTAATTATTTCGTTTGCGTGCGGCAGTAAGAAATCAAAACCCGGCTCGCAGGCCAGCTTCCTGAGCGTACACATTTACATGGTTAGGGGAATGTGCTAGGGAATGCCCGGTAGAATTGGCGGGGATGGCGGGGACGAGCGTTCCCTAGGCAGATAAATTTGAACGCTTTCAAAATAGTGATGATGATAGCAGTAATACTTTTGGTTTTGGTTTCGCTGCAGAGGCGTCGGCTTATTTTTAATGGAGTGGGGACAGACCATGAACTCTCTTTATTTTAGACAGTTGTCTCTCGTTGCCTTGGGTTTGACCACACAGTTATTATAATTATTATAATGTAGTACGCTAGAGGTTCAACAGGCGCAGCAGGCAGCAACCAGCCGAAAATTGACTTCCGGTAACGCATTTTTACGGGGAAAAGCGGGTGGCAGGCAGCCTCTGCGTCGTCGCGCGATGACAGCGCAGCAAAGGCTGGTTGCACTATCCTTCCACGGGGCGCGCAGAGCCTTTTCTACTGGGGGGCGCGTTGCCGCCGGGACCCAGAAAAACCCGTCGTATTTGTGCGGTTTTTCAGAAAGCCATAAAATGCTTCACGTGCCTTCTATCGTTCTGCAATTTGTTGGTTTAGTGGTTTCCGATGATGCTGAGCAATTTTCTAGTTGAAACCATGTCTTTAAACGCACTATTAAAAAGTTAATTACGCGAAAATAGTTAACAATATAATTATCCCGAACTTCAATAATTTTCTTAATTAGGCCCCTGGCGCAGGACCAAAACGACACAAGCCTTTTTCGTTGCGACGCGTAGTTTTCGCAATATCGAATTTCTCCACCTTTCGTGAAACACCCTGTATATATAGAAAACTTTACAAGACAAAGCGCTTTTAAAACATATATTAAAGTTGGATAAACGCGCACGAAACCACCGCGCCGCTCGACAATTTTTTTTTTTTTTTTTTTCACGTCGATGTTAGATATTTTTTGACGTAGTTACGCCATGGCCTTCCTTCTCCGACATTGTGACGTAACCACTCGGAGCACAGTAGCGCTTTGATCCGCGTGTTTTGCCGACAACATGGCCGACAGAGTAGCTCGGCGCGAGTCACGTGGTACTCAGGGTTCCAGGAGGCGGTTCGCCCCACTGATCGCGCTTCCCCGCTTGTTCGCTGCAGCGCAAGTGAAGCCACCGGGCTTCACTCACTTGGGATACGATTTGCCGTTTTTGCTAGCCTTTGCTGCGGTTTTCCAGCTTGCTGACGACACGTTTTCTATTCGTTCGTCGTCATTCGCCGAAGAAGTTTTTTGAAGACTCTGTGTATTGTTGAGACTTGCCGTTGTGAACACGTGGAAAATTTTACGAAAGTGCAGTGTCGCAGGAAAAAGGCACAACGCGTCGAAAGGAAGGGCTGGCGGCGTGTTCAAAGCATCCTTGGCACGCCGAAGTGCCGTGTCTCTTTGCCTTCGCACGCTTGGATACCGACCAAGAACCGACGCCGTGTGTATGTGTTCAGCGAGTGCAATGTGCGTGAAGCTGTTCGTGCCTCTGGATCAGCGTCTTTTCCCCTCGCGGTTTAGGAACGAGCTTAATCCAGCGTCCACTAGCGACGGGAGATGGGGAGAAGGTACGTCTTTTTTTCGTCCTTAGACGATTTACACAATACCGTGCACAACAGCTCCTCATCACTGATCAGTGCTGGCTTATTATCAACCTACGCGACTCGCCTAATTGTAATTGGTCAACAGATTGCACACGACCATATCGGCCGCGCTTCAAAGATTTTCATTCTCGCCGTCTTGTACATTTGCTTTCGAAAACCCCCCTGGCTCCACGTACAACGTTGCCCTATTCGTGCTCCCACGGAATCTATTAGAGTAGATTTGGGACATAGCCATGGTTAATATAGTACATAAGAATACGTACAGATCTCCCCCTTTTATTGATAGCAACTCACCGGAACAGCTGGACGATCCAGAACTCCGTGGCCGATATATATAAATGATCTAAAGGCATCTACGCGCGACACACGTTCAGAACTTTGGCGCGGCGTCAATTCTTGACCGGTATCCAAGCGTGCGAAGGCACAAAGATGCATCACTCGGCGTGCCAAGGAAGCTTTGATCACGCCGCGACACCGGCGACACGTTTTCGACGAGTTGTACCTTTTGATACGGCTTCACGCACATTGCACTCACTAAACACATTCACACGGCGTCGGTTCTTGGTCGGTATCCAAGCGCGCGAAGGCACAGAGACACGGCACTTCGGCGTGCCAAGGAAGCTTTGAACACGCCGCCAGCCCTTCCTTTCGACGCGTTGTGCCTTTTTCCTGCGACACTGCACTTTCGTAAAATTTTCCACGTGTTCACAACGGAAAGTCTCAACAATACACAGAGTCTTCAAAAAACTTCTTCGGCGAATGACGACGAACGAGTAGAAAACGTGTCGTCAGCACGCTGGAAAACCGCAGCAAAGGCTAGCAAAAACGGCAAATCGTATCCCAAGCGAGTGACGCCCGGTGGCTTCACTTGCGGGAGCGGCAAGCGCGATCCAGCAATTGTCATTGAGATCAGTGGTTCGCCCTATGGGAGAACACATGGAGATCGACGCAAGACGGCTGATTAAAAACTAAATGCCGAGTTCACACTTTTCAAAACTAGTCTGTCGTGAAGTTGGTAAAGCTCTAAACACTTTATCAAAGTTTTCATAATATCGGATGTGTGTGAAAATTTTGAGAAGGACGACGTCTGAGGCGTTGTCCTGTCCCTTTCTGTTTCTTCGACTTTTATGATATTTTCTACCCCAGTCTCAGGTATATTCAACATCTTTATGGCAGTTTCCCAACTGAGTGTTTTAGTAACGTTGGTGACAGGTTACTCGGGTCCTACGCGTTGCCTCCGTGAACAAAGGGAGCCGACCGTCGCGCCCAGTTCCCACAGTCGCCACCAGGCGGCGCTGACTTCCCAGAACGCTAATAAAGTCATTGGGTTTTAGAGACAGCGAAGGGAGAGTGGATTTCAAGACTGTAGAGATTACCAAGCAAAGATTAAGTGAATGGTGGCAGAAATCGAGAGAAAACTAGGTATTTTCTTATTCACTGATGGCAAGGGGGTTTCATAGCCTCACTTTCTTTGCACTGCGGAGTGAATATAGATTTCACATTTAAATATTCTAAGCTTAAATGGTAAAACAAAATGGCTAGGTGGCGTAAGCTACCGCCCGATCCAAAGGGCTCAGCCGTATTCATCCATCCTTCATCCATCCATCCAGGCAGTGCTTGTTCACTGGCACCCGCCCTCATGGAGAATAGAAGGGTAGGAGAGGGCATGACGTCGGCCGCGTAGCCTCCACAAGCCATGCTCCCTTGACGCCTCGCCTCTTTCTCATTTCCCTCCTTACTCTCCTCACTCACCATGCCAACGTGACCACATCACGTGACCATAGCTAGCCTTCGTCTTACTATGGACCACTAAAATACACCACAGTCTAGCCTTCGATCTGATAAAACCTACCGGACGGAGCGCGCGCAAGCCTGCAAGAAGTCCTTGTACAATGAACCATCCATCTCACACGTGACATGTCACGCGCACCAATCGCCAGAGAGATATGCGGTCACGCTGGGCACAGAATCGTTTAAACTTTTTATGACTAGGCTTCACCAATATTGCAACGTGCCCCCTCCTAGTACTTCTAACCTCCTTGCCCGCCCTAGCACCCGCGTGCTACCGACGGCCAGTGTTGTATGCGTTACCGAAAAAAAAGTAACTATACGTTACTCGTTACTTGCAAATAAAAGGTACGCGTTACCGACCTACGTTACCTCAAAATAAAAGGAACGCGTTACCGTTACTGAAAAAAAGTAACGCACGTTACTGTTGCGCACGTTACTGTTGCGTTCCTTTTTATTCACGAACTAAAATATTTGCTGTTTGGACGGGAAAGGGAATGACACAAAGGTGTCATTCTCTTTCCCAGCGGGAAGCGAAACGCAGGCTTCAAGGCAGGAATCTCCCCAATCCACCCGAAGCCTCTTTGGCCTTCCAGCCGAGGCGACGGCGGTAGCGAGGTCAACGAGCCGCGGGAGAAAACCAGTGGCACGTGACGTCAAATCTGACGAGCGCCGACGTCAAACAAAAGTCGAGGACAGCGGCATTTTTTTTTTTAATTTATGACTAAACACAAACCACAAAAAAAAAATTAAATTTTTTTTTAAGTTTTAGGAAGTAAAGTAACGTAACGTAATTTCGTTACACGTTACTCAGGATAAGTAACGTAAATACGTCACCCGTTACTTTTTTGGAAAAGTAACGAGTACGTTACTAGGTTGCCAAAAAAAGTAACGCGTTACCGGTAACGCCGTTGCTTGTAACGCGTTACCGCCAACACTGCCGACGGCACTGACGGGCTCTTCGTCGCGCCGAGCTTAATACTTCAACGAAATTTCAGATATTCCCGTCGTGTTCAAAAATAGATTGAATATGATCCACAATAGGGAGTTTTCGTAGACCGCGTTTCCTCCTCCGCTAAACCCTCCGCTACGAAGAAACCGCTACTGCGCCTGCGCGCCGATGGCCTTGGCTGTAGAGTTCCGGGTAACGTAGCGGGTTGCGGAGAGCGTTGCGGAACGGCGAAAACGATCTACGAAAACTCCCTAATACCCGTAAATGACAATCGCACGTTTGTATTTTGAGCCAGGTGGCTGTATTTTTCGTTATAAACGCCCCACTCTGGCAAGCGCTCGGAGAAGGCCCAGCGGAGACCACGTGACATCCAACGCAATCGTGACGTAGGCCGTCTCAGGACTAAATTTCGTTAGTGAAAAAATTGTAAGGGTGCAGGCGAGCTGGTGGAAGTTAACCATAGTTTTGTTTAACCCGAGACTGGGGTATTTCGGAAAAGGGACGAGAAGAAAAAAGGCCACTAGGAGGCGACGTCTCAAACACAGCTAAGGATTTTATTCCATCGTATGCACTTTTATACACACCACGTCCACACACCACCAACCAAGTCGACCAATGACAACATAACACCCGGAATACACTAAGCCAAACATAGGCCCAAAATATTACAAAAGAAAAATCTTTCAGCCAGACAAAAGGACAAGAAAAGCCTCCGACTACACAACGTCAACAAAGAACCGTTAAAAGGTTTTTCCAACCCGCAAACACAC